GGGTAAATGTGATTGCAGTAATGAAACCCTGGCCCAGCCCTTGTACATCGGAAAGGCCTAGTAGGCTTTTGTAATGAATTTCTTCTCCCCTTGTCCCTGTTGCAGCTCTGCAACAAAGCTCCTCACAGAGCGACTGCTTCCAAATGGAAGTGGGGTAGGGCCACGATGCTGCACGGCAGGCTACAGCACAGGACAGAGAACTATGAAGTGCTGCTGAGACCACGGGGATGCTCTGAGAAGCTCTGTGTATCCTAGCCTGCATATCCTGGCCCTATTCCTTGATCCTGCTCTTACCTGAGGTCAATGGAAATGAGATCACCTATCCAGGTTTAAGGAGAAATGGGTGTGCTCCTGGCAGGTGCTGCAGGAGTGCCTCTGGCCACCAGGTGTCACGACAGACCTGCGCAGCAGGACTGTGGGTGCTGTCGGGAAAGGACTCCGGTGCTTCGACATCACGCAAAGTCCCAGTTCCTGTGACCACCCGTGGTTCCCTGCACCCCTGGCACAAGAGGTGGGAACTGTCTGCTCTGTAACCAGTTCTGCATCTGGCGTCCTGGTGGCCTAACAGCTGTTCTCCCAGGCATTTCTGAGCCTTGGTTTTACCCTAAAAACCAGGATTACAACTAATCTGCTCTGTTTCTCGCGGGGCTGTGCAGGAAAGGCCAAGCTCTTCTGGACAGCAGGGGTTAGAGTAGTAGCAGGCACAGCAGCTCTGGGCCCTGCTCCCCTCTGCAGTGGGGAGGTAGGTGAAGGCTTCAGGCGGGCAGGAAAGGCTTTTGCCCCAGGGAAGGGGGGAGACTGTGGGTGCCCAGGGTTGGAGCCCCTTGAGCAGGTGGACACAGTGTGTGACTAAGGAGAGGGCAAATGAAACCTTTCCTGTTTCAAAAACACTGAAAATGTAAGCAAAGCCTTTCCCTTCACCCATTTCATTTGAAACTGATGTATTGCCAGACCTGCTGTGGGAGGTTGTAGGACTCTTACTCCCAACTGTGACTTTCCTTCACAACCACATCGCCCTATAAAGCTGTTTGCAGGGCTGCTGCAAAGGCTTGAGGCAGTTAATACTCTGAGCCACCTCCATAACACCACTCTTTGTGTACAAAGTGTATCATGGTGCTTCATCTCCAGTTGCCTTTTATGATACCAGTTTCCATCACTGTTAAACCCAACAGAAGGCTGCAGAAGCCCCAGCCAGACCAGTCAAATCATGAGGAAGGCCAGGAGTATCACAGAATGGTAGGGGTTGAAAGGGACATCTGAAAATCCATCTAGTCTAACCCCCCTGCCAAAGGTTTACAGGAATGTGTCCAGGCAGGTTTTGAAAGTCTAGAGCAGGAGACTCCAGAACATCTCTGGGCAGCCTGTTCTAATGCTTCATCATCCTCACACTAAGGAACTTTTTTTCTGATGTTGAGCTGGCAGCTCCTGTGTTCCTGTCTGTGCCCATTGTCCCTGGCTGTGGTGGCCACAGCTGGGAGAAGGGCAGAAGTTTGCGTTTCTCTCACACCATGGTTCAGGGCACTTTGCGCCTGGCAAGGCTGGTGCCCATCGCTGCCATGAGGCCTGGTCATGCCTGTTCAGATGACGCTGCAGGAGTGACAGCTGCGGGAGCTCTCTTTGCACCCTGCTGTTGCAGGCAGGGGTGGAGCTGGACTCTGACCTGGCAGGAGAGCATGTAGGCACCAGAGGGGCACAGAGACCTTTGAGCTCTGCCAGCCTGATTGCTTCCTGCTCCCGAAACACAGCCCTTTGTGCCCAACCTAGAGACATTCAGGTCGTGTGGGGTGGAGCTGAGTTTCTCCCTGCCACCGCCTCACCGGGGTATGCAGCAGGCAGACGTGACGTGGTGTGATACATTGCCAGCGTTCTGGGGTGGTTTGGTGCTGCTGGGTGTCACGGCCTCCCTCCTGCTGCCAGGATGACACAGCTGCCTGGTAGAAAGCTGCTCTTGGGCTGGGAAGCTGGTCATCCTCCCCAGTGGGTGCTCAAAAAAAAAGCGTATAGAAATACATCCACCAGCCCACCACAAGCCAGTTTTCCCCATAGCAGGATGCTCGCTCCCCTCTTCTCCTTATCCATGCTGGAGGTGGAACCCTGTGCCCTGACCCTGCGGGGACCCGCTCCCTGATTGTAGGGATGGAGGCAGCGACAGGGACATTAGGGAGAGCAGACTCCTAAGCTCCGAGGCGATGGGATGCAGGTGACACGGAGCAGCTCCCGCCGGGGACCGAGGGACCAGGGTGGGAGAAGACAACCATTTTGGGAGCAGCGCAATCCCATCTCGGGAGCGGCGGGATGGCGGCGGCCCTACGCCGGGCACCTCGCTGGGGAGCAGTGGGACCGTGGTCCAGAGGGGCGAGGAAGGGCCGGCCCGTGCCG